GTGGCCAGCTCAGCCCACCAGGGGGCGGGGCTGGCTGGCATGTGGTGCTGGGAGATTGAACCGCGGTCCCTGTGCTTTGCTCAAGCTTGTTCTAAGTAGGTGCTTTAGACCACTGAGCCATCTCACCAGTCCCTTTATTTTTATTTTTTAGACAGGGTCTTGCTATGCAGGTCGGGCTGGCCTTGAGCTCATCTTGTAGTCCAGGCTGGTCTTGAACTCACCAGAGTCCTGCCTCAGCCTCCAGAGTGCGGGATTACAGGTTATGTACAACCATGCCCGACTTTGTTTTGTTTTTTGAGGCAGAGTCCCACTGTGTAGTTCAGGATAGTCTTGAACTTATTAGGTACTTAGGCTGGCCTCAAACTGGCGATCCTCCAACCTCAGCCTCCCAAGTGTTGCGATAACAGGAGTGTGCCTTCACACCCAGAAATTTGTTAGATATTTTTCTTTTCCCTATTTTATTTTAAGTTTTTTATAAAAATCTATTTATTTATCTAGCTGGTTAGTTATTTGGCGCAGGGTCTCACCACACAGCTCAGAGTCATAGTGATCCCTCCATCTCTGCCTCTCCAGCACCGGGATTATAGGCGTGCACCACCATGCCTGGTTTTGGGGCGGGCACGGCACAGTGCACCTGGGATTCCAGGGCTGGCACGGCGTACGGTACCAGGGATTGAACCTGGATCCTTGAACTTGCACAGGCAGACACTTAGACCGCTGAGCTATCTCCCCAGCCCCAACCTATTTTATTTTTAATTAGCAGGGATTGAACCCAGGTCCTTACAATGAACAGCATACTGAGCTCTTTTATTTCATTTTATTTATTTTTTTTTACGGAACCGGGGATTGAACTCAGACCCTTGTGCTTGCTAGACAAGCGCTTACTCTACTGAGCCATCTCCCCAACCCCTTATTTCATTTTATTTTGAAATGGTCTTCCTAAGTCACTCAGTTGCCCAGGTTGGGCTTGAACTCGTGATCCTCCTTCATGAGCCTGCCAGGTTGCTGGGACTACATGCAAATGCCACTATAACTAGCTAGGTATTGTTTAAAAAAGAACTTTGACATATGCACCCCCATTCTTAAGCATGTGTTCCCAGAGAAACTCACACGTGTGTGCATGCACACCTACAAGGTGCGGAGCACACCATCAGCACAGGATTAGCAGCCAGCAGCCCCCCGGAGAACACTGTGCAGTGCTGCTGAGAACCAAGCCACCAGTGCCGCAGCCAGAGGAGGGCGCATTTCCCGGGGCAAAGCCAGGAGTGAGAGCTGAAGAGGCCCAGAGTTTCGGGAAATGGTCTCGTCTGTATGAAGTTTGTCCTTGTCCACATGGAACGGCAGTTGTAGGGATGTCCCCTTGTGGTATAAATGTTAAAACACGCAGGAACGCCAGCAGCACATTCAGGCCTGGAGAAGGGTGTGCTGGCTGGGGAACATTGAGGGCTTTACCAACCACTCCTGGTGCCAGTCGTAGGGTGGCTGGTACAGAGCCAGTTGGTTAGCTTGTTCTTCCTGCCTTTTTTGGTTTCCAAAATTATTATTTTTCCCCAGAATATCATTAGATTTTTTATTTTGGGTCTAGTGGTCCATGCTTGGAATAGCAGCACTCTGGGAGGCTGAGCCAAGAGGATTGCAAGTTCCAGCCCAGCATGGGCAGTTTAGCAAGGCCCTGTCTCACAAATAAAAAGGGCTGGAGGCCGCGGAGGTAGCTTAGCAGTCTAAGCAGGCACAGGGATCCAGGTTCAATCCCTGGTACCACATGCTGCACCGGCACCACCCTGGGCACGCTCAGCTGGCTAACCAAGACTGGGCACAGTGGAGCACACCTTTAGTCCCACACCGGGGAGGCTGAAACAGGAGGACTACCATGAGTCTGAGCTGTGTAGTGAGACCCTGTACCAAATACATAAACTAAAAAGGGCTGGAGATGTAGCACAATGTGAGGGTGAAAAGAAAGAAAGAAAAGATAGAAAAAGAATCCATGTATTAAAAAAGAAGCCATGCCTATAATCCCAGCACTTGGGAGGCTGAGGCAGGAGGATCATTTTGAGTTGTAGCCTGGGCTACAAAGTGAGCTCAAGGCCAGCCTGAACTGCATAGTGAGACCTGTATCAAAATGACCAAAACAAAACCAAAAAAACTAAAATTAAAATTAAAACAAAAACAACATACTGAATTGAATCCGACTTAGAGTACAGTACTGTGAACTGTAAATGAAAACACGGGTGAACTAACGCAGGCCCTTGTTCCTTAGTACATCGTCGCACGGTTGGTTTCTTAGATTATAACTGGTTTGTTTCTGGCATGGGGCTTGAGCCCGTGGCCTCTTCACCGAGCTCTATCCTAGCCTTTTTCTCATTTTATATTTTTTGGTATCAGACTCGGGACCTTACACTTGTCAGGCAGGCACTGTGCTGTGGAGCTGTCTCCTTAGCCCGTTTCAGTTTTTGGAGACGGTCTTTTCAGTTGCTCAGGCTGGGCTCAAACTTACCCTCCTGCCCTAACTTTTTAGAGCGCCGGGATTACCGGCCAAAATCACTGCTCCTGGAACTCATGAAGCTTTCGTCCGTTCATATCTGCAAGTATTTCAGCATCTGTGTATTGGCTGGATGTAATATGTGTCCTATGCTGTATGGTCAGAAAAATTTGAAAAACAGCAATCTAGCTGGGCACGGTGGTGCACACTTGTAATCCTAGCACTTAGGAGGCTGAAGCAGGAGGATTGCTGTGAGTTCTAGGCCAGCCTGAAGTACCCTGTCTCAAAACAAGCAAACAAAAAGAAAAGCAGCACTATTAACAGTAGACATGATTACAGAAGCTATTATATGTACGATGTAAAATTTAGAAAAATTTCAACCATGGATTTGCCAGAAGGGCAAACTGCAGAGACCTTGGTAACATAATGCTGCTTTTCTCTCTGTCTGACATTGTCCTCTTTCTGTATTGAAGCAACTGGAAGCCATTTGTGTCAAGCTGACCTCTGGAGACACAAAAGGGCAGAAGCCAACGCTCCTGCCGGCCACCATCCGACCCCAGCCAGCAGGACAAAGCCTCCTGCCCAGGAGCCAGCTCAGCCTGGTGGGGCTCGGGGTGCAACCTGTGGCTCCTCAGGGACCTGTGCCCACCAAGAGGGTAAAGGCTGTGCCTGCCCTGGGTAGCCAGGACCCCATGCCGATGCCTTCAGCAGCTTCTGGCCTGCCCACGGAGACACCTGCTATGCCAGGTTCTGCACATTTATTTCCATCTGGCTCGAGAGCAGGGCCTGCTGAGAAGTTCAAAAAGACCCCAAAGGTGAAAACCCGTTCCGGACGGATATCCCGGCCTCCCAAGCACAAGGCCAAGGATTATAAATTCATCAGGACGGAGGACCTGGCGGCCGGGCGGCCGTCGGACTCTGATGATTACTCGGACCTGAGCGCGGGGGACGAGGAGGAGCAGCAGGCTCCACGGGCGCTGTTTGCTGAGGCCAGTTGCGCCCTGCAGCCCCGGGCCTTCCGCTGCCAGGCCTGCGACAAGGCCTACATTGGGCAGGGTGGGCTGGCCCGGCACTGGAGGCTGAACCCAGGCCATGGCTGGCAGCAGCCCGAGGAGGGGTACACGGAGGCCAGCCCCAGGGACCTGGCCCCGCCAGAGCGGGGCACACCCGCGCCGAGCAGACCTGAGCCGCGCACACTGGCTGTGCTCCGCCAGCGCCGGGCAGAGGCCGCACAGGGCAGCCCGCAGGTAACACTGCCGTCTGGTGAGGTGCCCTCTTCTTCATGCTCCTGTCCCTAGATGAGCCCTGTGGGGTGTAGGGCCCAGCGCTACAGAGCGGGAGGTAGGTGTCCTCTGCCCCAGCCTGGCACAGGAGGCACACGGCTGCCAGTTCTTCAGACCTGGTCAGAATGGCTGAGGGAGAGGCGCTCCTGGCTGATGCCATGTCCCAGGACATGGGGCACCCAGAGGTCACAGTCAGGATGGCGGCCTGCCAGAGGGTCCTGTGTGCCAACAGGACCCGGTGCTGCGCTTGGTGTGTCTCTGCCAGTTCAGCGCCTGCAGGCTCCCTGTACCGTGGTCTCTGGTCATTGTGTTTGCATCACCACAGCAACAGTTTGCTGATTTTATTTATTTGTGTGTGTGTGTGTGTGTGTGTGTGTGTGGCCTGCTCAGCCCACCAGGGGGTGGGGCTGGCTGGCATGTGGTGCTGGGGGATTGAACCGCGATCCCTGCGCTTTGCTAAGCTTGTTCTAAGTAGGCGCTTTAGACCACTGAGCCATCTCACCAGCCCTCATTTTCTTTTAAATGATCAAAGTACTTGAGCGCTGAGGCAGGAGCGTCATTTTGAGTTTGAGACCAGCTTGTGGTGGAGCTTGAGGGCAGCCTGAACTACCTAGCGAGACCTCATCTTGAAAAGCCACAGAAAGAAAAGGATTCTTCACTGTTGCTGTTCTGTTGTTTGTTTGATTTTGAGAGAGCCTTGCTCTAGAGTGCAGGCTGGGTCTTGACCTTACTGGGTAGCCCAGGCTGGCCCCCAGCGCTGGCAGTGCCCGCCTCAGGCTCCCGAGTGCGGACTGCAGGTGTGCTGCACCACGCCCAGAGGCTGGGTTACTTTTTAAGATGATGGTCACATCAGAGCAATTCTTCGTTTTGATCAGCATCCTGGGGTAACAGTTTGTAGGCAAGACTTTCTGGCTGGGAAGTGATCACCTGTTGTCCAGAAGGGGACTCCTGGGAAAGTCTGAGATGTACTGATTGTAGTCAAGAGTCTGGATAGAAGAAGAAATAATTGGTCAGGTGTGGTGGGGCACACCTGTGATTGCAGGTACTTGGAGGCTGAGGCAGGAGGATCATGGGTTTGAGGCCAAACTGGGAAACTTGGTGAGACCCTGCCTCAAAATAAAAATAAGGGGCCGGGGAGATGGCTCAGTAGAATAAGCGCTTCCCTGGCAAGCACAAGGGCCTGAGTTCAATTCCTGGTTCCGCCAAAAAATAATAGAATAAATTTATTTATTTATTTATTTAGAAATTATATGTGTGTGTGTGTGTGTGTGTGGCCAGCTCAGCCACCAGGGGGCGGGGCTGGCTGGCCTGTGGTGCTGGGGGATTGAACTGCGGTCCCTGTGCTTTGCTAAGCTTGTTCTAAGTAGGTGCTTTAGACCACTGAGCCATCTCACCAGCCCCAATAAAATAAATTTAAAAAAAAATAAAAAATGTGTTGAGGATGCAGCTCAGTAATAGCACGTGTGGTTCACTTGTCATTATGACTAACCCAGAAAAACAAATTCTTGCCTTAATGGATTTCTGCAGTAAGGCTTTTCTGGTAGTGTACAGAGCATGATTCTTTTGTTTTGTTTTATTTGGGTATAAAACTTCATCAGTGTGTAGAAGATGAGGAGGCGATGATGCTGGAGCCAGAGTCGAGTGCAGCCGTCGATCTGCGGAGTGGGGCAGCACAGCCGAGGGCCTGCAGCCAAGCCCGGCTCCGGGAGGTGCCAGCACAGCCGAGGGCCTGCAGCCAAGCCCGGCTCCGGGAGGTGCGTGGCTCTTCCAGTACACTCTGAGCTGCTTTGGCATGCTATGTGGCAATTCACTGTTAGCTCTCTGAATTTTAAACAAGCTGCCAGACACCTGGGCACGATGGTGCACACCTGTCATCCTAGCACTCCAGAGGCGGAGGCAGGATGATCTCTGTGAGTTCAAGGCCAGCCTGGATCGCATAGTGCTATGTGATAGAAGGTATACATTTACCTGTTTAAAATGACTATAAGGCCTCCCCTGCGGCTCCAGGAGCTGCTTGTGAGTTTGGGATAGTTAGGACATATGTTTGGAAAACAGTGCTAGTCGAACTATTTCCTGTTGTGCTGAACTATTTTCTATGGAAACAAACTGAAGACCCTCCCCCCGGTAATACCACAGAGGAGGGTCTTTCTCATAAATGAAGAGAAGTTTTGAGAAGTATATTTCTGAAATTCAAATGGATTATATTCTTCTTATACTGTTAGGTACAAATGTATCTATTTTCATTGTGGTAAGGGTTCTCCCTTTCCCCCAGGTGATGTCCTTCCTTAAATTTTTTCCATGTCGTAAAAACATTAGAATACAGCCTTCTGTATTCTAATGCATGAGAAAATTGAATATATAGGAAACACAAGGCTGCATGAAGAAAAGTGCGTTGTTACTGTGCAGTTAAATCTTGGCTCTGGCTTTCTTTAGCTTGGACAACATGCTTGTCTGCTCTGGTCAGCCACCGATGCCATCTCTGCACAGAGACAGAGTGGTGGTGGCACAATGTCTAGAAGGTTTTTTTTTTTAATCACACCCGTGTGCCTTTTCAAAAGCAACTAAACTTCTGTAAAGCATCTCTGGTTCTTCCTAGATTTGTGTTGGAAGGAGCAATGTAAGTGCTGCTATAAGTACTTCATATTTTTGCTTATAGTGATAACCCCCAGTTCTTTTCCATTTAAGTTAGGTTGAGAATTTTTATTTAATGGCAGCTGAAGGGCCATTTTCAATTGGGAAAATTCATTTATATCTGTGGTAAATTTTACTTTGAAGAAAAATTGCACTAATGATTTACCACCAGATGGAAAAAAAAGATGAGCATCATTTAAAAATTGATGTATTTAAAAGTACAGAAAAAGACATGTATATAATATAT